TAAGATGCCACTAGAATTATCTCTCAAAACTGAGAGGAATATTAAAATATGCGCAAGCAAGCTATCATCACATCAAGTAGGTAGGCCACTGGATCATATAGTTCAAAAGACAAAAAGATTTTGACCAGCATGGGGGTCGAACCCACAATCTCCTGATTCCACTGTGTATCGTAGTCAGACGCCTTGCCATTGGGCCAACCGGCCAAGACAATTGAGAATGCCTGAGGCACCCGTCTTGCTTGCAGAATGAGGCTGTAACCTTGCCTAAGTAGTCCAAGCGGACTTACCTGTCCATCTATTTCACGTCTGTCTTGCCGTTCCTCAGTTTGCATTGTCGTCGCTGAGAAGAAGTACTTTTCCGGTTCTTCATATCTCGCAAAAACTCATTTGATACCTATTTAACATACTCATATATAGCCTATCAGAAGATGCGGGATCGTGGCCAGCGCAGCAAAAAGTCCAGTGCGAAACTACCTTGGTGTGCGTCGTCGAAGACATTAGCCCGAAAATTCTCTGTGAACAACGTACAATTGCAGCATAGAAACATAGGATGAAACTTCAAGGATGTTTTGCTCTTGATCTGTGATGTTTCACTTTGGTGACGTTATCAGAAATTTCAGTCTAAGTTGAACTGGTCACTTCACAGGCTCACATGGCTTTTGCACAGGTCGTGGCAATGCCTTTGAGCAATCTTAAGTGGTATACAGTCACGTCAAAAGCGGTCTCATTGGATCTGTTCAATACAGTTGTTTTGAATTCTCTCTAGCTTGAACCATCCCCCAGACTATCACGAATGGGCCGTTTTGGCCTCCGTCGTTTCGGCATTCGCAACATGGAACAGCCCCTTTACTCAAGCCATAACCTACTCCGAGTCAATTTCGGTTCATCCAATTTTTCACACCAAACGACAACTTTCACCTCCTGTGCAAATACTTTGAGACGTCCAACATACAGTAAGTGGAGAACATCGTCAACACACCGTTCCAGCCAAGACAATACATCCGGACAAGCAAAGGCTTTCGTCATCGCAGTCCTTGGACCTCGCAGCGTCGGCAAACCGACCTTCATCAAGTCTATCACCGACTCTAAGCCAATCCGTCTCACATGAACGCCAGTGATGTGTGAGCCCCTCGCAGACTAAGCTAGATGCTACGAACCTCAATCCTGGCAGGGTAGAATGCGCCATGTACCCCCTCCATTATCATCGGCACGAACAGACTGGTACTGTCTAATCGAGTACCCCTGAACTCATATAATCACACTGTTCAGAACCAGATGCCGCCGAAATCCAATCCATCCATATATTCGTGAAGCGCAATAGACGTAAGCTGAGTGGCATCATCTAACTCAAGTGCGGCTTTGCCATACACCAGAGGCAAGTTCGGGATTGTCGCAGTTCAGCTGTTGATTACTGCATACGGGGCCGTAACATTCTTTAGTCATTTCTCCTTACTGTCGCGTTATCTAAGCGTCTACGATTGTAAACCTCAAGTTCAGGTGAGCTTGATCTGGTTTCAGAGTCAAGTTCCCGGTCAAATCTAAGCTTGCGTAAGACGCCCATATTACCACTTCCTTAATGTTCTTCACGCCCAGTTCTTCTTTGTGTTGGATGAGCATCCAGGCTGTGGAGGCGCCATGAACACTCCCCAGAATTGCGAAGCCCTCCTCCGCGTCCATTGAAAACGTGAGACGCTCGTTCCACGTAGGGATCGTCTGGTGTCCTCCCCTACGTAGAGCTTCCACGACAATCTGGAAAGTCTTGTCGTTGAGGACATGTGACCGGAAGACGACCTTTAAGCCCTTAATGTCAGCACCCTTGGCTGAACAGCCGTCTTTCCACTGAAAGTAGGCAATGTCGGACACGGTATCTAGGTCAGGCACGTCTCCACGCCCCATCTCCTTTTTAGCCCAGGTAGGACTGGAGTTTGAATCGAAAATGAACGCGCCATCCTCTGGGTTGACCACGTTTGAGTACTTTCCAAGTGTCGGCTGCGAGATAGAGGATAGGTCAGTATATGTCAAATAATCTAGACTCTTGTGATTAAGTTTACCTGTCCCAGTCCACCTTCCGCTAGCCTGAACGGGCGATCGTGAAGGACATGCCAAACCATGCTTAGCGTTGGATCAACCGGATGATTCGGGTCTTTGAATGCCTCGTCGAGAGCGTCCTTGAACGCAGGCCGATGGCTGCTCATCATGTACGGGTAGGGGTTAGGGGTGGGCGACCATCCCCACCTAATCATCTCATTCGAGTTTTGGAATGGGCTGGCAACTGTAACCCCGCCATTGAAATCTTGTGCTTGAGTAGGACTCAACGGGAGGAGCTCCTTTAGGTACTGGCCCTTTTGAACACGGCCTTCGTAGGTATCTGGAAACGACGGAAACGGTTGCTTCACTCGCTTGGCGAGATGTTCATGCCGGGAAGAGAGCGCATTTCTAGTTGCTGGAGCGAGGATTGCTCCAATAGCTGGTGCAAAGTGAAATAATGATAGATACAAGAACAACAAACGTAGAGTCCCTGACCTAAAAGAGTGAATTGCGGGAGACATTGCTGACAAGTAATGACTGACAAGTAGTTGGAAGACGTAGCTGTGGCATGCAGAGCAAGTGAATCCCTCCACAGCTTGTGCGGCACTGAAACCTTTAATAAGCAGCTTCAGTCAAGAGCGGTCAGCTTCAGATGTTCCTGTTGTTAGATGATATCAATTAATTACCAGGTCAGGCAACGCGCAAAGGGGGCCGGTGGCGCCGGCCCGGAGTGGCCCGCACCGGAGTGACCCGCCCCCGGAGCGGAGTGGCCGTTCCTTGATGAATTGCGCCAGAGTCCCTATCTTGGTACTTGATTCTTCATGCCAGAGTGCAGTGCCCTGTGAAAAGACCGTCAGCACTCTCTGTACGCTCCTGGGGCCCTGGCGAATTAACACTCCGGAAAAGCGATTCCGAGGCTCTGGCAGAGCTCGGGAAGTGTTGAATGGGCTTTGGCCCGGATCAGGTTAAATTTAGGGACGTCACTTCCGAGCTAAATGCGCGGAGTTGATTAACGCAGTGGGCCAGAATGACAGTATAATTTATTCGAAAAATTTTCGCTGTTGAGGCGGATAGTTGGCATAGACGACAATAGGGACGACGACGAGAGACGATGACATGGATAGGACGACGGATAGGAACAGAGACGAGACAGGGACGATAGGGATGAAAGAATTGGTGAATGAAATAGACTATTGGACCCATTATAGGTAATTATCTATCAGGCTCGCAAGACTCTATTCCATTGATGTAGGAGGTAGGTACTCTGAGAGACTCCTTCTACTGAATTAGGCACATGCAATTAGAGCGCTGCGGCTAAGCCAGGTAAGCATGGTTCTCATGCCGTCGACATCGTTAGATGTGCTTGAGGGTTGGGAGTCAAAAAGATCGAAAGAAGGTCTGCTCTAGTAGTTTTACTTAAGATAAAGTCGTGACGTAGTAGTTGAGGTAACCTTGAGAGAGGTGAGCTTGTCGACGATGTTATACGCAATGGGTCACGTGATCAGTAGCCGTTGGTTGGGGGCAAGTTGGAAATTGTTGCAGAAATTGTTGCAGTGTCTACAAGCTCTAGGTAGAGATTCACAGTAGACAAACCTGTGGCCTTGAGTTAACGGAGTCAGCCGGCAAAGCATGCGGAAAGACGGCTCCGAGTCCGCGGACAATTGGCGGGTGGGAGGTCGGGGCATTCGGCCAGGAAGTGAAGGTTGAGGAAATAGCACCACCCTTGCTGATGCCGGTCTGCCGTGCCGTACCCGTATCTAACGTGGAACCCCCAGCAAACAACTTCGCGACTACAGCAAATCAAGGCCTGACTCTATGTAAGGTGCTAAGTCTTCAACTGACTCGCCAAAAGAAGGAGCACTTATCAAGACCAACATGATACAGAGGTGTATGCGTACACTGCATACGAATGGAATATTGATATAGAGTAGTTAGGAAGGAATCGGAAACCACAAAAGATCACAATCTATTGCCAAAGACATCCAATCACCATCACATAGGCACACTCACCGTCACGTCACACAGAGACACCGTCAGCATGGTCTTTTCAGCTCGGGCAGCCATCCCCGCCTCAAGCTGCGCCGCTAACCACGCTCTCTCTCAGCCCTAGCACCAAACGAACCCGTTCATCCCCCCAATCACACAGCTCCCCCGTGACGGCATGCGCTGATGATCATCTCCCTGCCGGGACGGTTCCAAATCCTCTCCCGCTCGCTTTCTCTTGCGCTTTCCTGCTTTCCCACCGCCAATCCCGCGTTGGCAAGAAAAAACAAAACCAGGGCACAGCAGGCCGCAGCAACAAAATTGGATTTGCAACACGCACGCAGGCAGCAAGATTGCAGTGCAGGTTCAGCAGCGGCAGCCAGCACACCGACGTGTCCTACGGGGGCGAGAAGGCAAAAGAAGGCTGAGCTCAGACATGGGGTTGTTTTCTGGGTTCAAGGCCACTCCACCCACTCAACTCACGATAATCTCCCCCTTCCAACCCCTGCATCTTCCCGTGTCCGTGGCTTGCTGCGCGCGCTTTGGGAAGGCTTGTCTAGCTGCCTAAACGCTGCGCATAGTGGATTCATGGTGCACTGGACACTGGGAACTGCTGGCCCCCCGGCCGTCCGAGTCCGAAGGAAGCCAGTTCGTCGGTTCGTCATTGAAGACCTTCACTTACCCAACTGGGTACCCGAAATCCTTCAGCTGCGCTAAGCCAAGAGAAGGCGGCGGCGGCGCTGCGGCTGGGCTGAGAAGCTAAAATAATTTGGCTTTATCCCGCGCGAAAAAGCCAAGCTTTCTTCTCTTCGTTACCCCTACTTTTCTTTTCATCTTCTACAACTCAAAATCAACCAGGAAAGCTGCGCTTGTGAAAGGACTTTCTGCGTCAGATACCCACGCCGGCAACGCATTGAAGGAGGAACAAGAGAAGGAAACCGGGAGAGAGTGTGTGTGAGAGAGAGACACAGATGAGAAGAGAGGCAAAGATGGGCACCGGCCAAGGACCCCCGAAGCAACAACAGCACAGTTATGCGCCTTACGCACCACCACCGCAACCTCAATACTACGTCCAGCCACCACCACAAAAGTCGCAATCGCCATCACAGCAGCAGCAGTATCAACAACCACACTACGCGCCATACTCACCGCCGCAACAACCGCAGTACTTCTTCCTGCCGCAACAACCGCAATATGCCGCCGCCCCGAAACCGACGTCCCCAGCGCCCCAGCAGCAATTCCTCGCCGAGTTAGAGGCCCCGCAAGCCCCGAAACCGAGACCGACGTCATCGTCATCCGCCACCCACAATGGAGCAGCAGCGGCAGCCCTCCCCGTATTCGAAATGCCCGCCGAGGCCGCTGCCCCTGCGAGGCCCCAGTCTGCGAGGCCATCGTCCGCTGCCGGGGCTACGAGTACGTCGCCGAGCGCGAGCGACGCGCAGCAGAAGCCGCTTCCGCAGGCGAATCCGTGGGGGTTCTTCTTAGAAGACGACCCCCTTCCCCCTACCGCCTCGACACCACCACCAGGTCCTGGCAAAGACGGAAACGAGGACGAAATGCTCTCCGTGAAGCCGTTGAGGATCGTCAAGACTGGGTCCGGCTCAGCCCAGCCCTCGCCGGAGCAGAAAGCGACAGGGGCTTCGCCAGGGGGCACACCGCCGGCCGGCACCGTGCTCTCGGAGCCGCCTCCGCCCCTGGACCAACAGGGTGCGCACGAAGGCGATGACGACTCGGACCAGCTGGCCCCGGCGCCGTTGAACATCTCCCGGCCCCAGCCGCCAACCGGGCCCCCGCCCCCGGTCCCGGTCCCCACCGCAACCTCCCCCGTTCTGATTCCGCCGGCCGGCACATACCCAATCCCACCAGCCGGGACTTACCCGCCCCACAGTCCGGTCAGCCCAGGCCGGCACCCGTCCCCAGGCGCTGGTGCTGCTCAGACGACGCTGCCGCTCCACCCCCGCCCGCCGAGCACCTCTCCTCCAAGGCCGGTGTCCGCAACGGCGCCCTCGACGGCGATCGTCACGCCACTCTCCCCCGTCCACACGGGAGCCACCACCGCCCCGTCGCCACAGCAAACCCCATACGCCGCCGTCATCTCACCACCCACGGGATACTCGCAGGCTCCCCCACAGAAAGCTTACACCTCTGCCGCGCCCGTGAGCCCCGTCCTGGTCCAGGCCGCGCTGCCGCCCACCCTCCCCCTGGGGTCCTACTTCCCGCAGCAGCCGTCCTACGCCCGCCCAAGCACCGCTTCGTCCGCAACACACAGCCCGGCAGCATCCACAGCTCAAGAACCCCAGCAATCCACCTACGCCTCGCCGCCCCCCTCCTACGACCAGGCAATCTCCTCTCTCCCTCGCCCGGCAAACGCCACCTCCTCCCCGGCCTCGTCCCACGCAACATCAACGGGGCCGCTCTCGCCGAACCCAACAGGCTCCTCTTCCTCCTCATACCCTTATTCCCCCGCAGACATCGGCGTCCAAAACCCAAACCACCCACCGCCGCAGCAACAATACCCCTACAGCCCGCAACCCCCGGTCCCCCAGCCGTCCTACGTCAACGGGCCTCAAAGCTACACCACCCCGCCTCCCCTCCCGCCGCGGACCTCGACCCCGACACAGCAAGGCTTCACCAACAACACCCCCCAGAACCCATACGGCCCGCCCCCGCCCCGGCCCGCCAACTACCACCCCGCGCCGCCCGCCAAGCCCCCCTCGGGCAACCTCTTCAGCAGCACCACCGTCCGCAACCTGCTCAACAAGACAACCGACTTCGTCGACCAGACCATCGCGCCGTACCTGCAGGAGCACCGCTACCGCCCGCCCTACTTCACCCAGTACCCGCCGCAAGGCTACCACCCCCAGCAGCAGGGGTACCAGTACGGCAATGGCTACGGCTTTGGCCGCGGCTGTCCGTCCGGCAGGCCGCTGCAGCCGGGGCAGTACGGCTACTCCCAGGCGCAGTCGCCGCCGCAGGGCTACACGCCCCCTTCACAGCGTACGTGAGCACCACCGTCAAAGTTCCTTGGGGAGCTGGAGTCAAGTGATTAACAAGGGTGACGGCTGTAGCAACGTACGCGACGACGCCTCAGGCCGCTCGTGAGAATCCCGATGTGCCTGCCCGTCCCACGTGAGAAAGGAAGGCGAGGACGCCTTGGACAACACGCGAGACGAACACTCGGGACGCAAAGCAGAATCTCCCAGGGCTTTGTGGACTGATACGCACTCGACGCTGCAGATATATTGCCGGAAGCATTGGACGGGTCACGATATATGGGACGAGGCGCTGGCCCCGAAAGGCGGCAAGTCTGAAGGAAAGCGAGGATTGCCCCGGCATTCGTGTCAGACGATGGTCAGATCGACGCGCGCGCCTCAGGGATATTGTCGAGGCGGCTGCCCTGACACCTCAGTCCCCGAGAGGCAAACTTACACGCACCAGCTTAAGGGCTATTGAGGATCCATCAGGGTGCTAATCTACAGTCCACTTCTATAGTTGACGCGATAGTCGCGTTGAGTTGCTCCGCGGGGCCACTAGCATTTACTCATAATATAATGTATTCAATCTCACCCAGCAAATACCAAGGAAATAATCCGCTCAGAACTGAGTGATGCCCGGCGTTCGCACGTAGTAAGTCAAGCTCCAAGATGTTATGAGAACTTCCTGAAGAATATGTGTCCCTACTTCATTTCAAGATCTGGCGGCATCGCCGGCAGGGGATCTTGGCACCCTACTCGTGCAGAACCACGTGGTGGCAGCGCGCGGGACGGGAGCAGGGTCAAGCCCATGCCGAACCGGACCAAGCATGTAGTACCGAGGAGTCGGGATCGAGAGCAATTGACGTTGGGATCGATGTGGAGTTAGGCTCCATGCCGCTGCGTGCAGACGGGTAATCGAGAGGAAAGACACACTGGGGACGGGAAGATGGGAAAGAAACCTTTGGATTCGTGTGTCGTGTGTCGTAAGGTTCATCTCAAGTTTCGGCCTGCGCGGGCGAAGACCGAGACGGAGACAAGACTCGAGTCAGGGGATTTGCCATCGATGGACAGTAGATGGAGCTTTATGACGAAACTTCGCCTCTTGCGCTTCTACTTGGAATGCTGGGTACAACTGTGTGCAGTTGCTTGCTGCTGAAGACTTTGTGGATGATCAAACTCCGTCTTTGGTCAGCAGGTTATTGACAGTGCAGGTAAATTCGGCGGCAGCCTGCGATGTCAAATACAGATGTGGTTGTCGTAAACTCGGCCAGGACCCCCGGCCGGTCTTCCTTAGCTCCATTCTACCGAGGATCCGGAGGGTGGTAAGGGTGGTGAAAGCGTTCATGGCTTTGCAGTGCGGCCCGGAGCATAATGTGGGATGGTCCGACGGCGTTTCAAGGCCTCGGGACCGGACATGGGGTGCGGGTTGGCCTTCCCCCAAAGCCACATACCAGAGAAGGGCTTGGGTAATTGAAGGGGCAGGAGAAGGAAAAGCGCATAGCGGTCAGGGCCGTTTCGGCGGCTATCGTGTGTCAGCATCCGGATGCACGCTTAAACTGGGCCTCTCGACTCATTTGCGCGGTCGCGGCGCGAGCGCGTCAACCGCGAGCTGGCGTCTGTGACGAGTGAGTGACCGGATGTTCAGTCAGGCTACTATGATGGCCGATCTTGCGAGTGAAACCCGTGCAGCCTGCTGTGCTAGGTCCAACGTGTTCCCGTCATCCAGCTCAATGGCATGCAGCCGACATCTTGTGACTTGTGCATTCTGGAGCGGACGCCTGGAAATAGGCAAAATCAGGCAACTCGCAGACTCGGTGAGCACGGCGCCAAGCAGCCCTCGGAGCCAAAGGCGAACCAGGGCAAGCGGATCGGTGTTGCTGATGTGGTAGAGTGCCCCCCCTCCGTGAAGTTGACGCCGCCGGTGGATTGGCCGAGGCGGAAAATCCGACAGCGATCGGCATTGGCTAGAAGCACATCGACCTTTGGTTGAACGATACTCTGACCTCGGAATGGCTTGGCTTTGCGGGGGTCCTGGAACCATCGGCAGCGACTGGCGTATTGTTGCGGTACAACTGTGATCCTTCTGATGCTGCTTGTCCGGACCCTTTGGCTTATGTGTTTCACGGCAGCAGGAATTCAATGGACGTCAGAGCTGCTGAGCTCCTCGAGCAGATTCGATAGATGGAGAGAATGCATATACGCCAAAGGATTGTGGAGAGACGGTTGCCCGGGCGGCGTTGGCGTTGAGCTTCTGAAATACCCTAGTAGAAGCTTCGATGACAGGCTTCTTCAATCTTGAGCAATGGTCGGCTTTCGGCCGGGTGCGGACTACGCTTCTGCTAGCCTGAACATGCCCGTCGTCTCAAGTGACGGTAGGACAAAGCTGGGGAGAGCGTCCGTTGGCTTGCCGAGCAGGGCAAGTGACGTTTTTTAACCGACACTATGGAGACGGACTCTCACACCGTCTCTCTCTTTGATACGTTCGTGCGGTGCCAATGTATCAAAGACCCATAGCGCTGCCAACGGCGGTGAGCTTCCAGAATACCATGACCATCCATCTGCCGCTTTCTCGAACGTCTTAATTTAGGACTTCGGTATGCACTCGAGCTGCAGTTTCCAGGGTGGGAAGCGAGCTCACTCAGGAATGAAGGCTTGGCGCACGAGAAGCGTATCCGCAGGACGCTTTTCTCAGTCTTCTGGAGGCCGCCTCATTACCTCGTTTACGCCGATTGCCGAGTTTAGACGAGTGGGCTGAGATAGTTGCAACAGCACCATTACCTCTGCGACAATGCATACCCCAAACCGACAATCGGAGTTTGGCCGAATGAATAGAAGAAAAATGTCCTGTTCAAGCGATCCTCGAGTGATGAGCGACCCGTGTTGACGAGGCTATACTGTAGCGGTCGCATCTTGCGTTATTTTGAAATTCATGCTCAAACTCGCAATTGGAAATACAGTTATCTCGGTGTCAGCCGGGCCGCAAGGCAGGGCGTACCGGGAGCCAGCGCTTCCATTAATTACCCAATATGCACGGAATACGATTCCAGTTGCGCAAGAGGCTAGGGATCGCAGTCCAGGATTGCTGCCCGACCGCGAGACAGCTGACAGGGGTCGACAGTACGGACGTCTGAGTCGTGGTTGCCGGTCATCAGTGGGCAAAAAGCTGGATTTTGAAGGAACCAAAATCATGGTTAAGGGAGCGCCGAGCTTACGAGCTGTTGGCCTCCTGTGCTCAGACTGTGAGGCACAGAGACCAGCTCCAGCATGTCTCTCCTGCCCCTTTGACTGGTGGTCAAAGCCATTGGCGAAGTCTGGGGTGAGAGTGACGTGGGAGCCGTCGAATGGCTTCCCTGCCAATTAGCCATGCGACGCCACAGCTTGCTGCTCCGGCGCCTGACACTTCTAATAATAATGAGCAAAGGCAACGAGTGAGCTACACAGCTGAGATGCGGTCGGCGATGGGCGGTTGCATCGCAGGCTTCTGTCTGCTTTGTGTATCGCCAGATATGGGGTTGAAGGCCATGGAGAAGATCAATTGTTGCCGCCCCTTGTCGAAGATCCTTTGCTGGTCCATGAGGAGGGGGAGAAACAGGGGGCTTTGGCTTTGGGATTAGATATCTCGGACGTCAGCACAGCGAAATCCGAGAGGGTGTCGTTGCATGACGGATGGGAGCGGTACGGTAGTATGCTTGCTTCAGCTCCCCGTACCGTCAATGATGGCACGGTGGTCGGCAGCACCACCTCGTTTTGTCTGTTCTCCATGGCTAGGTCGGACGAACGAGGCCTAGGTATCCGTTTCTTGGAATTGGCAGGTCGACCCAATCGTGTTACTGGCTTGAGAGACGTTTGAATTGGGGTCTCCTGACCGACTTCTAAATTCACATTTGAGTTCGAGCGTCCTCATTTAGCAGCGCAGAATCGACTAATGGCGGTGAGGCTCCCGCTGGCGGGCGATTAGTGCATCCTACCTTAGCGGGAGCTGCATCACCTGAGGGATGAGCAAGCGGTGGCAGCTGCGGCAGGAACGATACGTGAGGGGTTGATATTGGTCCTGGAGTAATATGCCGGGCCGTATTGGAAATTGGCATCGTGATGGCTTTGTGCCAGCAGATTGGGAGCGTCCAAGATTGACGTTGAAGATGCGGGTAGGTCGTGTGCAAGGTACTGCTCCGGGGTCAAGGTCGATGGTCAGTGACGATTCGCAAGGGCACATGTATGTTTCGCCCTTGCGGGAGGTCGTGTGAGTCTGCGAGAGGCCTGCGCAGTGGATGTGGTTCCTGAAGAATTGGTTCGCGCCCTGCATGTATTCCGGATACGCGGGCTAAGCTGTCACTGTAGCTGTCGCTGACGTTGCGGCAAAGTATTCGCGGGTACCGAAGTGGAATTTGATGAGCAGGCTGTTGGCTGTTGGCTGCGATGGAGACCTGACAACGACGGGACATGGCCGGTGAACAAGGGCGCGTCTATCGGGGAAAGGGCGCTCCCAGATTGCAGCGCAGCGCGGTTGCGGGCTGGGCCTTTGAGTTGAGAGCGGAAAGGTATGGGTGGGATTCAGGGTCCATCCCGCGGCGGCGCTGTCGCCCCTCTCGCATCATTCCGTGTCATTGATGCGGCCCCGAATGGCGTAGTGTAGGCTCGGAGGGTGAAGTATCTCGGGTTTGTTCCCTGAATTCCAGACTGTTGTTCCGAAAGCAGTTCAGGGAGACAGGGTTCGTGGATGTTCTTGGGGTGGTCGTTAGGTTGGTTCTCAGGCTTTGGAATTTCCCCCTTTGGCGGGGTGGAACAGTAACGGGGGTGGACCGTGGGCCTTGGGTTCAATGGGTTGCCCAGGGCCCAATGTCTTGTCCAGGTATTCCCCGTCGTCGTCTGGTGGAAATGCGTTCATTGCATTGAATTGCGTGGCCAGTGCGTTGTTGCAATGTCGAGATGGCTCCAGGAGAGGCGAGATAGCATGACGAAGACCTGATGCTTGGCCAGGCCACTCGCAATCCTCTTTCCGTGCCTACCCAAGGTAGATACAGGATGCCTGA